TCACTTCTCTTTTTGCCTCGTATGGGGTTACGTAACCCCGTACGAGGTGAAACCCTTGTTCATCAACCGGTATCGGTCCCTGTTCGGCCTTGGTTCTCGGTCGATGTCCCTTTTAATAGGGGACCCAAAACCCAACTGGTCGTCTTCGACTCTAATCTTCGATTGATATTGATTGTGTACGTCGGCCCAAGTAACAGCCGGGTACTCGATCAAGTTTTGCTTCAACCGTCATGAAGCCATCGAGTTTTGTTCGTTCAGTCCTTGGTGAAAGCTTGAATGGCCCAATCGTCTGTGACCGGTGGTAGATCCATTCGTTCCATTTGAAAACGAGATGCGAACTCTCTTAGCATCTCGTTATCTTTTTGTCTTACCTTGAAAAGGTCTGACTTCCTGGTTTTGACCTTTATGGCTCCGACATGTTCTTTTACGAAAGAATCTGCAAGCATAGCAAAAGAATCGATAGAGTTAGGCAGTAAATTATGATACCATATCATCGCTCCCTTTGACAGGGTTTCACCGAACTTCTTTAATAATACGGATTCGATCTCGTCATCTTCTAGATCGTTCCCTTTGATGGCACATATGTAAGAGGTGACATGTTTGTTAGGGTCGGTCGTTCTATTATATTTAGGAATTTCGAGCATGCGGAACTTCTTGGGGATCGATTTTGGAACCACGCTCGGGGAAAAGGCTTTTATACGAACTTTTTGGAATCCAAGCCCATCAATATTGGTGGTGCCCCCGGGATCTGATCAACCCTGGAGTTATAAGTTTCTATTTTTTTGTCGTGTGCTTCAATTCTCCTTTCTCCTGACTCTATTCGTTTTGTCAGTTCCTCGAGCATTTTAATAATTTCGGGATTAGTCCCTGATTCTTGTTCATTTGACCTTACTACAGCTGGCCCCGTTTCGTGGGTGACTTCTTGGGGTGGACCGGGCTCTAGCCTGCTTGGTGCCTGGGTTTGGCTCTGCAACTAAGCTATCGCTACCTGTTGAGCTTGTAATATTTCAAAAATCATACGCAGGTTGATCCCGTCTTCTACATGATTTTGGGTATTTCGAACTGCAGATCGAGATCCACCATGAATGTTATTTTCGGGGTCGGAGCGTTGGTTCGCCTTAATGGCCACATGTGAACTAACGTCAATTGGATCTACGGCTCGAGTTCCAACGGGGTCGACGAGTGGCCTTTCATCCCCGGGCGTCAGGTTGTTATTCTCATCTTGAAGGCCAGCTTCGTTATCGATAGGTAGGGCCATTAATTGGGAGTTCGTCATTTTTAACCTGAAATCAAAGACACTTCCAAGAGCAAGTGTAAAATAGTGTGTTTCACAGAGATTCGTACCAAATAACCACTTTTATCCTTAGCCCCACGGTGGGCACCAAACTGTTTACCCGAAAAACGGATAAAGTTGAATTTACACGTAGTTTTAAGGATACGTAGTATGAATTAGTACAAATCGGGAAAGATAAATAAATGTGTGTTGAAATTAGTTATAAAAGAAATGAATGCAAACCAGATGAACTAATTAGCCTAAGCCTTCAAGTTTAATCACCTCCAAATCGGGTGAAGAACGATTGATAGAAGAAACAATTTGACTAAAATACCCAAAGCCACCAAAAAATAGTATTGGCTTTGTTTTCTGTATATATTAGAATGAATGTGTGTATGAATTAATGCCCTCTTATAAATGATAACCACTCTTAATATAGTGGGGGAATTCCATTTTGGATATAATTAAAAATACATAATGGGGATCCCATAATAGACTAATTAATTAACTTTTCTTTGATTTCCGTCGAGATTCTTTCCCCAAATGCGGCTAAAACGGTTCCTTTGTCCTGTGGCTTGATCTCGATCTTGGCCGGTCTCGGTAAGGGTCGGTCTCTGGGTCTCGAGCTCGATATTGACTCGAGCTCGATATTGATCGGTCTCTGGGTTTCGAGCTCGATATTGGCTCGAGCTCGATATTGATCGGTCTCTGGGTTTCGAGCTCGATATTGGCTCGAGCTCGATATTGATCGGTCTCTGGGTCTCGAGCTCGATATTGATCGGCCTCTGGGTCTCGAGCTTGATATTATAATGACGAACCTCAGTCCATCATGCTCCAATCTTGATTAATCACACGAAGGGAAAACTCAATTTTGACCGTATACACTCTTTCTGGTGGAGTTCAAAGATTGAAAAGCAAAGAAAAATGTATTGGCTTTCATGGCAGCGCCTTTAGGAAAGAAAAAAAAGAGATTGGAGGTTTTCAAGATTGGTTGAGTCTTAAGTATACTTGAGTTTTTATAACTTGCATTTGTTTTAATATGGCTATACTTGGAAAGCAGGAGTGGAGATTTCTTTCTGCCAAAATGTTCTTCTCTGTCGAGTCTTCAAAGCTAAATATTTTTGTTCATGGACTTTCTTATCGACGTAATTAGGCCAAAATCCTAGCTACGCTTGGAAGAACGTTTTGCTTTGTAAGGAGCTATTATAAAATGGTGTCCGGTGGGGAGTGGAGAATGGTAACAAAAATTAGTATTGGTAATGACCCTTAGTTGCCTTTGGATATATTTTTTTTCTCGAAAGTCATTTATCTATTTAAGCTCAAGGTATGTGGGTTACTGTTTTGTGAAGACGGTAGAAGGTGGGATGAAGAAAAAGTTTTCTCTATTTTTAATGAAGAAAGAAAAAGCAAAAATGATATGTATTTCAGTTAAGGTAAGAGGAGAGGTTGATCGCTTAATTTAGCATTTCAAAAAATGGGTCTTATATGGTTAAATGAGGTTATCATCTTTGCTACTAACTTTCTCTGGCTTCGGATGTGCACGGAGCTTTTGTTAACTAGAAAAAGCTTTGGCACTTGGAGTTATCTCTAAAAATTAAAGATTTTATTTAGAGATTAGCTCGAAATGTTATGCCTATTAAGTCAAATTTACTAGCTAAAAGTGTTAATCATCAAGTGGGGTGTTATTTTTGTGGATCAGAGAAAGATAGTAAACATGTGTTCCTTGATTATGTAACGGCGAGAGAGGTTTTGAGAGCGTCACATATGAGCTGAATGTAGATAAAGTTAATATGGCTGAGTTTCTTAGCTATGTGGTTAATGATTCAGAGTCTTTGAAGACTCAACAGACTTGTGCAGTTCATAAAAAAAAGTGGTTCATGAGAAACGAGTTTCCGTGATAGTAAAGTTCTTCCTCCTACTTTATGTTATTTGAAGCTCTAGATTTTTTGAGTGAGTGGGTATTTGGCTATTTGCCATGGCTGAAAAGTGGTTGGGAGATCTTATGGATGTTTCCTCTTGGGTTATGGCCACTTCTTGGTCTAAGCCTCCACATGAAAATCTGAAAATGCAATATTGATGTAGCTATTTCCTCGCTTCAGGTCACAACGGAGAGTAGGGCTTGTTGTACATGATTATGCTAGTCAATTTGTAGCTGCAACTTCTTCGATTTTTCAAGGTCGTGCCAATCTTAGGCATTGTTGAAAATTGAAATTATGGGTTTGCATTCCTCTCGGCTAATTGTTCCAATATTTTTGGTGGCCCAGCTCAGAAAATTGTGCTTTCTTACAATCTACAGAGTTCAAAGTGTTGTTGGATAGTTGTTGTTTCTTGTTAAAGAAAAACCCCAATGTTTTTCTAGTTTGGATTAAAGGCAAACAAATTTTGATTGCTCATTGCTTGACTAGAGAATCTAAAATTTTACTAATTTTTCCCCTTTCTATTAGGAACATGCTCCTAATTTTATTGTAAATTTGTTGGTAGATAATTTCAGTTTAATAAAACTGTTTGTTTGAGTTTTTTAAAAAAAATGGAGAAGAATCAATGTTGAGAACCCTCATGATCGCCAACTTATTAATGGTTAACCAAATATCACAAGTGAAAATTATACCAAGCACAACCCACCTTAGCAGAAAATCAAAAGTCGAGCAGCACCCCCTTCCTCCGGCGTGATCATAAGTAGCTTTTTTTATACCGAGCATCTCATGATGATCAATAAGATGATTCATATACATGATAAGTGAGTATATATATACACAGACAAAATGAGCAGGGAAATAGGAAAATGCCTTTATGAGGCAACAAAATTGGAAGAATTACCAGTACAAATACATATCGGTCTCACTATGATGAGCCTAGCAATTCTAATGACTTCAGTTGCATCTAAATATCTACTCCCCTACATATGAACATTCTGCTAACTGGCTAAACGGACCAAATGCAGATAAAAAAGCCCTTTCTTAGAGATTAAAGAGATATCTAAGATCTTCTACAGTTAGTCGACTAGCTGTGCCTCCACTTTGATCTTCACCAAAAGCGGATGCAACCATATTTCTTTTGTCCTCCTGAAATTATAAGATGATATTGAAATCTAAAAGATTAGGCATCGATGAACACTACACAAGGTGCGCATAAGAGCCAAAACTAATCACCATTCTGTGTTTTAACCAAGTCTCTGGAAGTGTTGATTTCAAATATGAAACAGAAAGCAAATTACAGAAGAAAACAGAGAGAAGATGGTTGCTGAATAGATACAAGGATAATAATCACAAGAATAACACAGTAAAAAAATAAGGACAGGATTTTAAGGCCAGGGAACAGAATCAGAACAAACTTGTGCAGGAGGGTGGGTGGGGGGGAGAAAGTGAGATATAACGACTTGCCAAACATCATGCCAAAAAACTATGCGGTTCAACTAAAGAACATAGAAAAAATGTGGGGCTGATCCTTGATTGTTAATCCAGATTAAATGACAGGGTATACAGTGAGAGGTTAACCTGGAGAGCTAGAATTCGATCTTCAACTGTGTCTTCAATTGTTAATCGAGACACAGTGACCGCACGAGTTTGTCCTATTCTGTGAGCTCGATCAATAGCCTGATCTTCAGTAGTTGGATTCCACCAAAGGTCGAGAAGAATTACATGACAAGCTGCCACCATATTTAGGCCAAGATTTCCAGCTTTTAGTGACATCAACATGACAGTCACCTGCAAAAGAACTTACGCTTGAATTTGAAAATACAATAAGGTTCAAGGAGAAAGAAATGGTTAGATTGGGAAATCCAAAGTATGCAATTAAAAACTTCAAAACAAAAAAGCACTACCTTGCTGTACTGGTGCTCCAATGTGCTAAAGAAATGACTAAATAAAGCATAGTTATTAGTCCACACCACTCTATTTAAGTTTTTATACTAATTGCGAACATGGTGCTAGAGAAGGTACTCCTCGTCACTATAAAGACCAGTAGAAGGAAAAGGACATTCAAACTCTTTGAATGAATTGCATGTACGATAAGGGTATAGCAGGAGAAAAAAATTCCTGAAGAAAAAACATATGTACAGGCATTTCCTGAATGGTATATGAATGTAAAATTATCTAGTAATGAACATATTCAAGGTTAGACCTATACCTTACCATCAAATAATAATCCTGAAGTCCTATAACAGTATTGCCAAATTATCATTTCTGAGCAGTGGACTAGGAAGAGGGTATTCAAGGTTTTGCACCACGCAAGCACAAAGAAAATCAAAGCCACCCTGCTAAAGTTTTTCACAAAACTAGCGAACGTTCTTCACACTCACGTGAGAAGATGTAAGATGAAAAGAACCTTACTCGTTCCTCAATCCCACAAGATTGCACTAAGTGTTGAATAAAGGAAGAAAAAACAAAATAAAAGACAAGCCACGTTTATGAAGCAAGAGCTTAGAAAAACTAATCACCAATGTTTATTTTCAGCATACTGAGCCCTTTAAATAGACCTTACCCTTTAAATAGGCCTTACAATGAGTAAAATTGATGAGGTTAAGGCAAATTAATCCTAAAAAGAATTCTAGTAGGAATGAAATGCTAACTAACAATCCTAGATAACTAGAACTACAAATATAATCCTACTAACACAACAATCAAATTACTAGGAAACAGGAAATAAGAATTCCTAATCTTTATGGATAAGAAAGCCTAATATTGAATGGATTCTAAGACTTCTTGAATTTCTTGGTATCTTGGCCTTCTTGATCTTGCATCATTCTCCCCTAGTTGAAAAAGACTCGTCCTCGAGTCTAACAGCTTTCGTAAATAGCGCAAGATTTGTTATAGTAAAGAATGGGGACCAAATACTCACCAAGTTTAAGTTACATTTTGTATGCTTATCACAGAGCTTCTTCACGTTGCAAGAAAACTTTGCATTTGGTCGAACTACATCCCTCTTTCTAAGTTTCAAATTTCTACCAAACTTTCTCCATGTAATCTTTCTATGTTGACTCTCAAACTTCATGAAGTTATTGGTGTCAAAACTTCATGGAACTTAACCAATTCTATGTCTAGCTTTGAATTAAGTATGGAGATCAACGCTCTTCTTGAGAATGCATCAATTGCAACGTTTGTACACCAACAGTCGCTTTGGTGATAGCTGGATATAGTTATGACGTGAAGATATCTTGTCTCTCCAATATACCTCAAACTCTCTATTATCCACTTTTTTTAGGAAATCCTTGTTCTTGTTCATGCATATTTTTATGGACTTTAAAATTAACGCAATATGCTACCTTATTTAGAATGATATAGTCAACAATTATGTCAATATTGTGTTGAGCATCTCTATAAGGTGGAAAGTCGATGACAAACATGGTTGGATACTCTAATGGATCGTCATAAAACTTTGGTGGTAAAGCCTCAACTTGTGAATCCAATGCATGGTCTTCGTTTCTATGATATTGGTCTTCATCAGTTTCATCCTCTTCATTCCCTTGAAAATTTGAATATTTATCATATTGGGAATGGTGCCTCGATACTCTTATGCCTCGGTTAGCTTCAACCTCTTCAGCTTGCTCAATATATCTTGCTCTATGCGGTTGAATTGGTGGATATCGAAGTGGTAGACGTGGCGATAGTACTGGTATGTTATATGGTGGAAGAGGTGGTGGTGGTGGAGGTTGTAGGCGTTGTGATGGATATGGTGGCTAATTTGAAGCACCAAGCGTCCAACTAATTCAGTCAAATTCGCCATTGATTCCTTCAAGCCATCTAGCTGCATTCAAAGCCATCTAGTTGCACTTTAATTTCTTCATTATCCCGTTCAAGGACAATAGTTCTTAATTTCTGAATTACAAATTTTAGCTCGATTGAGAGGATCCCACTTGTTTCTCTAGCGACATGATGGGAAATAGCAAATCAAGACTCGAAACCTGGAACATGTGCTCTGATATCAAATTGATGTACTTTCAAGGTTTTGCACCTCTCTCAAGCACAAAGAAGAGAGAAAAACAAAAAACAAAAATAAAAAACAAAACCCGCTAAAGCTTTTCACAAAACTAACGAAAGCGGTATTCAAACTCACATGAGAAGAATGTAAGATGAAAAGAACCTTACCCACTTGTTCCTCAATCCTGCAAGATTACACGAAGTGTTGAATAAAGGAGGAAGAACGAAATAAAAGATAAATCACGTTTTTGAAGCAAGAGAATAACCAATGTTTATTTTTTTTCACAGCATATTGAGCCCTTTAAATAGGCCTTACAATGAGTAAAATTGATAAGGTTAAGGAATACAATCCTAATTACACTAGAATAAGAATAAGGTTTAAAAAAACTTATCCTAACTAAAATAGGAAAAAGAATTCTAGTAGGAAAGGAATACCAACTAACAATCCTAGTTGACTAGAACTATAAGTATAATCCTATTAAACAAAAATTCTTGGACTTCTTGAATTTCTTGGTCTTCTTGATCTTGTATCAGTACTCCTTGTGAGTATAAAGAGAAGTTATGAGCCAACTAAATTTAAATTCTTACATGCTATGCAAGCATGACAATGGCATAGCTACAAACTATTTTAGAAAAAATTGAAGGTACTGATCTACCTAAGAGGTATATAGGCCTACAATTATCGAGCAATATCGCCAAAGAGGCATAACATGATTTCTTGTCGTATCCATATTTGAAAATGCCACCTCCTGTACTTCCACTTCTTTTTTCTTTTTCTTTTTGTTGTTAGATAAAGGTGGTGTCCAAGAGAACGTGTGTGCATCTCGACTATTCTACTTAGTACCTACATCTCCCACTATCAAGGTGTTAGATAACTCTGCCGACCAAGACTTAGGAGATGGGAAAAATCACCAAGTGTTTTTTGTCTCCGGTTGAATTTGAACTCTCGTCTCCAAGGTTTGCACCGACTTCAGTGGCTACTAGGCTACAGCCTTGGGTGTAGGAAGGCTAGGGAGCATATGGGATATCAATTTCGGGAGAGTCATACATCAATATAAAGGGAAGAGGTTGGGGATTTCTTTTTTATTTTTTCTTCTTTTTTGGATAAATAAGTTGAGATTTCTTATAGAAGAATATATCGACGTGTAGTAGGGATAGATGAAGCAGAGAAGATGATATGGAGGAATCAAAGGTGAAATCCTTTAAGGTGAACTTGTTTTCAATGGAGTTACTAGTAGGGGAGTAGAGGGAAGCATATTTGGAATAAAAAGGCATCAAAGAAAGTAGCTTAAAACAAAAAAGAATCTAAGCAGTGCGAAATCTTATCGGCAGGTGATTTCAGAAGGAGAAAAATTAGAGAGTAGGCTGCTTGTGCAAGGAGTTTGGAGAAAATACATATCACCTCCAATTGCATTGCAGCTCCATATCTATGGACCATGAATAGTGAATAAAGTCTGTCGAGTTGAAGGCTTAAACGATTGGCAAGTAAAAGAAGGCAACTTGGAGGATCAGACCACCATGTCTTTTGGTTTATATGGATGGAAACAAATAGCATATTCTTTCCATAATAGCTAGACGACGTTAGGAGTATTAGAACCATTCTTATTTCATCTAATTTTTTATGGTCCGAAGAGATGACTCCCTTTTGAATAGAGATCTGGGATAACTTAATAGGAGATTGTGGTTGAAATATAAATCCATACTGTTTTGTTTTCCATACACCGTCTTGGTGTGATATTAATGACACTTACTAAAGAAGAAAATATTGGCCATTTTGATATCTAAGAGATTGTAGCTACAACAAGTAAACATACAAGGAAAAGACCAACCTCAGGATTTGTGTTAAACTCTTTGACAGCCCTGTCTCTAGCAGCAAGAGACATTGTACCATCAAGCCTCTCATACTTAAAACAAAACTGGTTCAAAGCACGCTCAACCAAGTTTAACATGCCTGTCCACTGAGAGAAGATAATGGCCTTTATTGGCCCCTTGTCTTGCGATTCTGAATCTGCTTTTCCCAAATTTGACGAATCGCCATTGCATTGCACCAAGCTATCTGATTCTAAATAAGGATCCTTTGACTTAGAACATGAGTGAAGAATTTCAAGAGCAGCTTTTATTTTAGAAGAAATGTACTCATTTTCCATGATGGATTTCTCATCAAATTCAGACAAGCTGGAAGGATCACCATTTACATCATCTGATACACAATTTTTTAGGGTAGCTTTAGAATATACGGCCTCAGGACCAAGTTGTTCTTTGCATCCAAGTGCCGGACATGTATTATCTTCCCCAGTTAAATAATCTGATACACATTGATAGCAGAACACATGTTCACACATGGAGACAACTGCATCTTCGGGCACATCCTGGGGAAATAACAAAGTAGATATCATACTAGCATGTAAAACTATTGATAGTTGTACCATGACAAAGACCATAACTATAAAACAAAATAATAAAATAAATCGAAAGACGAGAAATGTGCTACTAGAGAGTGCAATGCAATAGTTATCTTCAACTGTAGCTATACATTCATAGCTAAAAGAGCTCAAATCAATCTAGATGCACATAAGGTATTCCACTTAATCTTCAGATTTATACACATTTTCCTTTTACAAGGGGGCAAAAGCACTTTTGACTTCAAATGCTTTGATGGATAGCAATTTGAAGCTTGTACATATCAGATATGACAGCTCACTGAATTTTATTTTGTCTGTGGACTTATAGTTACACCATTGCTTTGCACTCATTAGTTGTAACTTTGAAGTTTGAAGCTATTTGGTTAGGGAGGCTCCAGTTAGTCAGGGAGATATGGAGGAGGTAATGATAGGTTTTAGCTCACAAAATGTCTCAAGTGCAATATAGACAGTTGAGTTCAGCTTGTCGACAAGGTACTCATGATTAATGGGAGCGTACTAAATCTGAAGCATTTTGTTTTCAGACCAGATCGATCAATGTTTTCTTTCATTTTATTTCCCTATTCTCTTTGAATTCCTCAAAGCCCATAGAATCTTAACAGTGGCCTTGGAGTAGCGGAATTCAGCTTAAGAGCGACAGAAATACACACCAGCTGCCTAGCTCTCTCCTTTCTCCTCTCTTCAGCACCCAAAATCCCTTTTTATATAACCGAGAAATCCCCGAGGGCTAGTGGCGGACAGTTTGAAACTCGGTGAATAANATAACCGAGAAATCCCCGAGGGCTAGTGGCTGACAGTTTGAAACTCGGTGAATAATGGTCCGGCCCTACCCTTCTCCACTTACCAGGCTTTTGTCTGTGGCAGCGTTAGAGCCTGTGACATATACCTAACCTACACATCACGTATTGTGCTCTTACCACTAGACTAAAGCCTAGGGGGCATTCAGAACCCAAACTCCCTTAATCCTACTCTTTGTCCGATCGCCCAATTATTATCTTCTCCTACTTGTTTTATTTGTTGTCAAATTTAACATTTTACAAACCAATCAAAATAATAGAGAACTATGCAGCCTGTGTTCTATAAAAAGCAGGCACAAATCTCAAGCAACAACTTTCGACCTTTGGAAAGAAGATGGAGTTGTTTGAGAGCTTGGATGGTCAGCTTGGACTTTAGATACTGTTTTCACGTACAAATGGGGTGGGAGAGGAGGAAGAGAGATGCAGAAAAGGCAATACGAAAATGACCAGCTAAGCATGATATCTCAAGCCAACATACCATTGAAGAAGGGGGGAAAGATGTAACAGTACCTTCTTCAGCAATAAAAGAGAGTTCGAGAGGCTGAACGTGTTTGACATGTCTCAAACACAATGAGGCGAAATATTACATGAACTCTTGATAGCTCAAATAGATCATACATGGAAGTTTTACAGATGAAATTAGCTACTCTGGGTATCCCAATAGCTTCTCAGTATACAGTTATAGAAAGTGGATTGTAAGTGTTTTTATTTCATGTAGTATATCTCTTTTATTATAAGGCGAATAATTTTATTAATAATGGAAAGATCTCCGTATACAAGCTATATACTAAAAATAGAGACCCTCCATCAGAATGTGATTCTCTACAAACGACACCCGATCTTGTATACAAAATGAAACCATATGGGCGCACCAAAAGAAACTAGGAACGAGAGGCTACTCCTCAAATGTAAATAGTCATTCTCTATACCCTCCGGAGCTCTCCTATTTCTTAGTAGTCTACTCAGATAATATTGCAAAGTACCATAGCATGGTATTAGACAAGCTTTTGTTTCCTTCTCTCAATCTATTAAGTGAACAATTTTGCTGTCCAGATAAGGGAAAAATGGAAAAAGTTCCCGTGACATAACTTATTTCTTTAGGGCTTCTTACTAAATCCACGAACATATAAGCCGTTTGTACTCAAAGAAGAAGAAGACATCTAAATCCCATTCCACTACTGCAGTCATTTCATATCAACACAGACTCGATTGGAGGGGAATGCATGTAACATAGATAAGGACTATTTTCTTTCTAAGACTTCTACCTCAACTTGCAGTTGTACTCTTGCAAAATAGATAAATAATTCAAGAAATGAGAAGACCACAAACTCTACTCATTAGAAGAAAACAAGGATAATGACCAAGGGAAACTTACATCGCATACGGAACATGTTACCAATGAAGTTTCCAATTGTTTCAAGAGATCCTCCACCATTTTCTTTGGGAGTTTCCTCGCCATCTCTGATGAAGCTCTTCCAACAGAATTGTAACTCTCCCTTTTGACAAGTTTTGGGTGGTCACAAGCCTGTCGAAGTCGTAGAAGCATCAATAAGATATTTGCATAGTTTTGCTTCACAGTTCCAGCTGCAGCATATGCCTGCAAGACGAGTACCCTCTTTTATTAAAAAATACACCACTAGAGCTAATAAAATCAGCCAAATAACAAAACATCAGAAGACTACTAGAAATCTCAAAGTTGCTCTGGAGGTCAAAATTTTAACAATTGCTTCACAACTCAGAAAAGAACTGAAAGCTTAGTCTTGAAAATGAAGTCTTCTCTATGTAATAGGATTCCGAAATCCAAAACAAGGGAGGTGTGTTAAATTTATCATGAGGATGAGACAAAGGCTTCTTTCTTCTCACATTTCCGTAACCAGATGACATCACTTCATATTCCCCCATCTTCAATTTGATGTCATCTTTTCCTTTTTCTGATCCCCCAAGATATGTAGCATAGAAACATTTTGACCATATTGAACCAAATAAATGGACCTTCAATTCCCCAAATATGAGTAGGATATAAACATAATGAAGATTACAGTTATGCTAATGTACATCTTTCGCCAGTTAATCATCATATATACTAAATACTTGATAAACAACATATTTACATGCCGAATATCCAAATGCATTAAAATATGGTAGTCTATTAATTTTTACATGTCTAATATCCAAATGCATTAAAATATGGTACTCTATTATCTCACGATTGCACACATTCAGCAGTTTAATAAACCCCACTCTTGCATGTCCCCAGATGACAACAAATCAAAAGGTGTATCATGTTACAGTCATTCCCAGTGCATATAGTATCAGAGGTTGCAGCTTCCTTGAAAAACTTGTGATGGTCAAGCAAAAGATAACATTATCAATCTGTCATGAGATGTAGCTATATTCAAGTTATAAGACTACACTTTGTACACAACCACTTCTCTAGCAGCCCCCCCCCCC